CCAAAACTATCCGGATAGTTAAAAATTATCCGGATAATTTCGGATATTCATTTCATTTTTATAAGACAAATATACCTTAATAATATAGTGTTTTTAAACATACCGAATAATAAAATAATGACACCTAATTAAATTTTACTATCACATGAATGATTTTTAGATATATCCGTGTCAGTGGTTGTTAACCGACTATTCGGACTCTTTGCAGAGTCCATCCTCAGGGTTGTCACGACTGTTTTGCTGCCGGTTAATAACCACTGATACGGATATATCTGAAAATCATCCACGTGATATTTCAACTCGTGAAAATTTCAAAAAATACATAAATTTGAGTACTCAAAAAAATATATTCGGCTGGTTAAAAATTAAATGAATATCCCAAAGTATCCGGATAATTTTTAACTATTCTGATAGTTTTGGTTCTACGAATAATTGAAATATTATTTGATATCCGAAACTATCCGGATAGTTTCGGATATCCGGATAGTTGATCAATTATCCGGATATCCGAAATTATCCGGATTTCGGATATCCGTAACCGAATTATCGGATATCAAATAATCCGGATATCCGCAAAATCCGAATATTAGTCCCAACCCTAGTACACATTGTACTATATTTTTCAATGTTTTGAAAATTTTTATCACCAATCCTTGAAGTCCAAAAAGGGGTATTTTTTAAATTTTTTTTCTACAAATGTATGTAATTAAAAACATATGTTGCCTTTAAAAAAATATTTTTTTCCGGATTGTTACTTACCGTGACAATATTTCCCGGGACTTTACGGCTTGCCTTTCCAAATGCTTTTAAAAAAATAAATAGAAAAAATACTTACTCCTCGTAAGCTGCCAGACTAAGTAAAAGAATAATTTTGATGTTTACCATATTAACTGTTATAGTATACTATTTAACTCGGCTGGTACTAAGACCTTTACTGTTTTCAGTGCTTATAGAACCAAGGTCAACGATTGTCTACAACTGATTGACTAAAAGTTCGGGGTACGGATGGTTTTAAGTTTTTTCGCACGAACAAAATACATATTAATACGAGTATTTGTTTTCAAGACAATATAACCGTCTATAATAATGGCCGAGTTGATATGTTTTGTAACGTTTTCCCCATATATTTTTTGAAGTACATTGTCATTGTACCTAGTGTGAAATGATGTATTTGCTTAGAGCTCAATATTTTTTTAATACATTTTTTAGTAAGAAATCCACCTACGCAAACGGCACTTGAAAGACCAAAAAAAAAAAACAATTTCACTACTTACCTAATTTACAGATTTCCATGCATTGATAATAATTCAACTGTTTAATAGTTGATATTTGTATTATTTTTAAATATTATAAATTTCTCTTTTAATAAATATTATATTATTAGGTTCAGCTGTCTAAGAAAGACAGTAGCTTAATAGCTTTACTATAGCACAAATGGTTAACAACTTACAGTGTTAAATTTGTTAGAGATTTCGAATTACCTTATGTTTGTATACATAAGGTGTATGATAAAAACTTTTCTATATGTATCTGTTGGCCGCATAAAGTTTTTGTATTTTTTGGGGCGTATTCTAGGATATTTTAGAATTTGTCTGTACATAGAGACGTTTTTGACAGTGAGTTCACTAGAATTCTTGCTACGCTAAAAATCCCTTTTGTAATAATTGGTTAGAAAATCGTAATAGAAAAATATATCAGATAAACGCTTCAACCATGACTGGAACGTTTGTCTACGTGTTAACATGCAACACCGTAGTGGTTTAATAATAATTGTATAGGTGTTCATATAATATTATATTATATTATGGCCCACTATTGTAGTATTCGTGAAATGTGTATCCGCCTCGCCATTTAAGTTCAGAGTTTTGGAAAACGATGGCTTTGTGTACTTTGACTGTGTAAAGTTCATCATCGAACGCGATATTTGTATTATATGCAAATCATATTTTGCGGAACGCAATGGAAATTGGAATTAAAACTAAGGTTTTTTTTGTACAAAGAAAATAGTGGTATTTTAAGACAGGTAAATTGTAAAAAAAACATAATGTTTTTACATCGTGTTGAATGCGCCCGCGGCTTTTAAAATAATACAAAAAATAATCATTTTTGGATATAACTAATAATTATTGGACATTATAAAAATTGTTTACAGAAATTCAATGCAACGGTTAGGTATACGGTGGTAAATACGGTTAACGAAAAAAACACTGCTAGTTGTTTTTAGCCAGGGAACATATTTGGTACCATCGGAAACACCTAAGTACACATGGGTGTTTTGTGCGATTTTCAAACTTTGGCGCGCCTAAGCAAAAATGCAAATTATATTTGTTTTTAAGTATTCGTACCGAGTTTTAGTAACAGGTTTTAACCATATAATATAGAGAACTTGCTGCGGGCGAGTAAAAGGAAAGTGCCAAGTATTTTCAGGGAGGTCACAGATTTCAAGGGGGGAGGTGCCCGGCTACGTTTAGGCACTGCTTCTTAAAGTAATGTCGTTATGTTACACGGACCGTGGTATCTATACCTAGTTATCAGAGTTCATATTAGCTAGTTTAGGAAAAATATTTTCAAGCTCAATACTGATAAACTGTAGTGTGAGTCTAGCTATCTGTCAGATCAGGTAACGATCTACCTACCCAGAAAGCGAGTGTCCGGTGCCACTTGCTTAACTATTAGAGTACAAAATATGTTTTTATTTTAACAGAAATTTGCAAAAGCCATACAAAATGTGTTTATGATATTTTCCACGTTGACAGAAAAACTGTTATCTTCTAATGGTTTTCGTTTTATTAATTTCAATAATTTTAATCTGTTTGAAATATTACATTAGACAACTTTTAACATACTTAAGTCATGCCTTATTACGAATAAATCACAAATGTTTGACTGGAGTTTGTAACGATTGCCACGATATTTGTTTAGGTAGGTATATGAAACAATATTAATACCAAAAAAAATGCTATAATACAGAATACAACTTTATATGCGAATAATGTGTATAAAAATAAGAGAAACATTTATCAGCAAAGTCTGCAACCACGACAGAGCATTTTCATGTCTCGTTGAAATATCAAAGATATTTCGCCCCCTATCTCCTACCCCTATCTCCTAACCCTTTCTCATACCTCCTATCTCCTACCACCCCATTCATACCGCCATCTCCATTCCCACTCCCAACCACAACCCCTTTCCCCCCCCCCAACCCATTCCCACACCCATCTCCGTGTCATGACGCTTTTTGACTTTTTATCTCTTTGCTATGGTACACACACGGAAAAACGACACCGACACCGGTTATCATAACGAAAAATAACAGCTGATATATCTGGTAAGATAAGAGAGATAAGAGATGTTTTTACTTGGACACACACGGAAAATTGACACCGATACGGTTATCATAACGAAAAATCAGCTCATTTATCTGATAGAGAGATAAGGAAGGATATATGGTGAAAGATAGGGGTTTGAGATAGGGTAAAAGATGAGGGTTGGGGTGGGAATGGGAATGGGGGGGGTATATATGTTGTATTCACAATGTTAAAAATAAAAATGAATAATAAATTCAATAACTTAAGGGACCAAATTCTCTATAATCGTTTTGGGCAGATATTATGAAAACACTAAAATATTAGCCAGAATCTTGATATGCTTACTAGCCACATTAGATACATAATAATGTATCTAAAAGCTGTTAAATTTTTTTCGTTACGCTTTTTTGGTAACACTTTTTTCGGTTATGTGTCAGAGCTAAGACATGAAAATGTCAAAAACTATTCGGCCAAAAAAAAACTGTAAAAATGATAATAACTTAAAACCTAAAACTTGTACTTTAGTACTCAAATATTGCTCTAAACTCTAAAGAGATGTCCATAAAAATGTTGTCATGATTTGATATATTTTTTTTAAGATTTAACGAGTTTATGTTAAAATATACAAAGAAGCAAAACAATTCAAAGTGATAGAAACCCCTTATGGATCTTAAACTGTAGTACCGAATAGAGTTCCGTAATCAAATATTTATTTGTTCACATCAAAATTATGTTCATGAAAGTAAACTAGGAATAATGTTATAATTTGTTTACCTCGAAAACGTTATACTGAATAGTTTTGGTCCGAGAACGTTATAAAGAATAACGTTATTATTTTGTTTTCCCCTCAGAACGTTATAACGATTAACTTGCAGACACATCAATTTATATATCCTGCAATCTAGTATCTCTAATCCACTATCTCAATAATTCACCTGTACAATCCTCCATTATACCTTAAACTCCTCTATAATTCCTCCATAATCCTTTATGACGTCAGCGTTATGACACAAAACGTGACGAACGGGTGGGGGGTATAGGAATGGGTTTGAAGGTTAGAATGGGGTTGGGGATGGGTGTGGGGGTGGGGTCTGGGTCATATGTTGTATTCACAACGTTCAAACCAGAACTGAACTAGAATTAATTTAGAGGTCATATTTTTATGAATTCTTTTAAGCCAGATATTAAACACTAAAATATTAGCCAGAAACTTGATATGTTTTAATATACTAGCCACCTTAGGTACTAGCTTGTTACTGCTTGTTAATATACTATAATATCGTTATCTATAATTCCACCACTAATCTAAATTTATTCGGTACTCCAACGAGACGTGAAAATGCTCTTTCGTGGTTGCACACTCGGCTGAAAAATGAAAATTTTTCTTCATTTCGATAAGTAGTTTTAAAAACACAAGAAAAATAAATTACACTGTGATTTACACTTTCCGTTGTAAGATAATAAATATTATGCATTCATTTAAGAAAGTAATACCGACCATAAAATCCATATAATCTTTTCAACATTTTTGTACTCAATTCTTTTTCAGATAACGTCCCAATGATATGCAATGTAAGTGTATTACATTTTTTACTTTGCTAAAAGTTTTTTATTTAATCAAAACCAGATCACTGCGTTATGTTTATACAGAGGGTACGATCATTGTTACTGCACCAACAATTGTTTTTTTTTCATTTCGATAACGTATACGAACCCAACAACACGACAAATCACAACAGGTAATATGAGTTAATTTAAGCTATAAAAAATAATAATTTTTTTTAGAATTCTTACGGTAGACATAATATTATCTCATGTTAAAGTTTTGCAATCTGATTAACCGGAATCTCCAAGTTCTTTTAACACACAAAATGTATGAATAAAAATTACAAAAATTGTACATTTATAAATACAATATTTGTATGCCGGTCTGGGTCGAACTGATAAATTAATTTAATATAATAATTTTTCGCTTACAAATTTATTAGAGTAAGTATTTTTTTTAAATTTCATTATTTTTTATACGATTATCCACGTTATGGTTCTAGAATATTCCAAAAAGTATCTTCGCTGCAATTTTGTGCAAATAAATATTTTCTGTATTACTATTGAATTTGACATTATACTGTTTTTTTTTAGATATCGATTAAAAATGACTAGCAATAAGCTACAAGTTTTGTGTTTGTTTGTATTAACTATTTGCATTGCGATAATAAACAATACAAAATGCGATTCAGCAGAAGGTATAACTTTGGTATTTCAATAATTTGTAATACATTTTTTTCGCTTCGATGCTTAGCTGAGATGTTGATGAAATGTTTTTTTTGTAGTCTGCAATATTTATGTGGTTTGCTTGTGTTACACTTATTCCCTGGAGGAAAAAGGACATTTTGCTAGAAAATTAGACAGAAAGTAGGACTCGTATTTATCTCTAACTATGTTAATTTTGGCACACTGGACCTCACTTTAACACTTTCTTAATGTTCTTAGTTTATTCGATACGGTTTCTATCACTTTCGGTTATAATAATTCCTGTAGAACTGTGACCTGGCCGACCTCACTGTACTGGCTTTTAAGGGATTGAACCAAAAATGTAACAATATTATAGTACAATTTGTACAAGCAAATCATTATATTGTTGCGTGGGCTACTTAGAAACGTTGCCTAGATGTTTTGAGCAAGCCAAAAATTTAAATTAATATCACTTGTAATAATTTTATATTTTACAAAATGATGATAATATTATTTATTATTCCAGATTGCCGTGATGAGATTCGTACGACCAGTGAGTTGTAATAACTTTGTTTTTTTAAAAGTCATTTAGGCAGTTATAATATTTTCTGTAGAACTGTGACGTCACCGACCCTACTGTAATGGCCAGTACGCTTTTTAGTGATTGGACCAAAAATGTAATAATATTATATTATAATTTACCCAAGCAATTGTACTTAATTATTTATTACAGTTTTATTCAAATTGACTGTCTGATGTTGTGGGTAATTCATTCTCTGTTAATCGATCAACTTGCATGGTGTATTGGTACTTTGCACGTGTATTCCGAAAAAAATTCCATTGTTATTTTAGGAATAATGATAAATAATTCAGTATTTAAGTAGAAACAATGTACTGAGTAAAATTTCCATATAATTCCTCTCTTAGTATTTTTTATAACTCTATCCGTTTTGACGGCAGGTTCATTTGCTTAAAATTTCTTTCAGTAAGCAATTCATCATATTATTGTTGAGTCGGATACTTAAAAACGTTATCTAGGTATTTTTAGCGTGTCAATGATTGTAATTAATATTACTTGTTTATCGACCGTTTCATATTTTACACAATTATGATAATACAATTTATTATTCCAGCATGCCGTAATCAGATTTGTAAGACCAGTGAGTAAAAATTATTTTTTTTTTTTAAAGTCATTTGGGCAGTTTCTAACATCATGACATAATAAGTAATTGAAAAACTATCCATTTGTGTCACGAAATGTGTTATTTTGGGTTAAACTATTTTTGTTACATACAGCATGGTCTAGCAAGGTAGATAAGACAAGTTTTTCTCATCTATAAATCCCATTCATCGAAATTCCTCCTTTCGGTATTTATAATATTTAGCCGGTTGTAACTAGATATTTACCAGTTCTTATCTGGTTCGTTTTTGTCGATGCGTTTTTTTAGATAATTTAATCTCTCATTATTAATAATTGACTTAATGGCAGGCTTGTTAGCTTATTAAATTCTACAGCTTAAATTCTTATTTCATTTTTTTTTTAGTTAACTGACAATTTTATATACATGACACAATTTTTCGGAAAAGATATGGATGACAAGATCATTTTATATAATTTTAAACTAACTATTTTCAATTAAAGAAAAAAATTCCACTTTTCTCCTCTGTACAGTGGGTCAGTTTATTCATTAATAATTTATTTTTGTTAAAAAGCTTACTAACTAATCTCTATGCGGATAAAAGGGCAGATTTTTTATTTTGTTTTTTAAAAATTGTATTACCAGCATTTATGTTTTGATGTTTAATATTTTATTCTAACAGATCTTACTTATTCGTTATTTAGTTCTTTGCATATGTTTTTTCTTTTGATAAAATCTTAATTATTTTTCCAACGAGCTCTTGTACCAAAAATGCATTAAAAAACTAAACACATTAATCTCATTGCAAAACAAAAATAATTGGCTGCCAAAAAATGACTATTTATATTATTTTATTACTAAATACAACGTATTCAAAACAATTTTTTGTTTTATATTTGGTGAAAATGTATAAAGTCAAAAATGTTTAATATGTAAACGTTTTACACAAAAATTTAACACAATAAATACATTTTATTGTATTAAATATAGTACAATTTAAGTAGTGATAATTTTGGCAAACTATTATTGAGATCTGGCGTGCTGCGAGGTATGGTAAAGCCTTGACTTGTAGTTTGTCAAAATTAAACCATTACATAATATCGTTAAACTTTTTTTTTTGTGTCTTCAAGGCTTTTTTAAAAGAGATTTTATTGGTTTTGATCATAAGATCCCGACAGTATCTAATGATCGCTTCGACCTCACTGTATATTGTTATTGTTAATTGTGTAAAATTCGTTTTGTTTTTAGACCATATGATTTCGATTTTAAATAATGGTGAGTGTTTGTACAATTACCTAATAATATAACAAATCATAATGAACCCAAATGTTTTATAACCATATCAAATGTATTGTGTAATAACTATTGTGGTACGATGATGTGTAAAACTTTACGGTTAGGTTAGGTTAGGTATATAAAGTATCGGTTTAATGTATACAATTGTTTTCATAATTTATTTAGTAATTTTGGTAGTGAAAATTGACTTTGATATCTGTACACATAACACTCCTTTGTTAAAATTCCCCAAACTTCTTCAATAACCCTACAATTATAGACTATCTGTGCTATGCCTACCTCACCTCAATGTTTTACTGAATAGTCATTACTAAAGTTTATTTAACGAAATCATTATCAATTTGTTTTTGTACTTTGATTTAAGATCAAAAATACATACTGGTTGAACATCTCATGCATGAACTCAAACGTTATGGTATTGTTATAATATGTAAACTATTATTTCTATTTTAAGTAAACTCGACTTTACAATGTAATACGCGGGGTATTGATTTTTCATTGGTTACCAATTATTTTTTAAGTATTATAAAATAAAATTGATAATATTGTGTAATTGGCTTCTTGTTGGTTCATTGAACGTTCACGCGACCCGCATGTATTATAATTTTTTTTTAACTAGCAAATCATTTGTGTTTTATTTCAGATAAAATATCGACACTGCTTTACCCGCCAGGTAAACTATAATTCGTTTTATACCATTAGGTGATATCATAGAGTATAAAAGACCTATAAAGAAATAGACTGGGCCTCCCACATAACCCGCCATTACTGTCTCGGTATCAATATGGTTAGAACGGTTATAATAGTTGGGAATCCCATGGAATAAACGTTAGGTATATATATATATATATATATATTATGACAACTAACAATACACATTACACACAATCGGAAAAAAATAATATTTAAACAAATTTTCTGTACAAATTCATGATACAATTTACTGTTGGTAAATTATCATAATTATACTCTAATATTGTACATGTTGTTTTACATAATTTTTTTTAGAAGCTTTAATAGTAAAAACCATTTCACCGTTTAATTTCCTCCTTCAAGATTTACTTAATAATTGTTTTGAATAATAATAAACATTTTATTACTATTAGTAGTTACTAGTAGGTACTAATGTTAAAATGTGTAAGATAATATTATATACATATAAATAAGATCCCAACTTGCCGAAGCACGTTAACCTCTTTTAGGCACAATGAGCTGGTAAATTTATATCAAAGCAAATTTGCTGAAAAAAAATACACTTACATAAAAGTTTTATTTTTCAATTAAGATTTTAATTAAAGTGCCTTTTGTCGATCACATAAATACATGTAGCATCTTTTAATAGTATTATAAAATCGAATATCTTTTTTAGTTGCCGAGTTGTTGTCAAGCAGAGGCAGGGCTAGAGGTAAACAATTATTGTCTGCATAACCTATAATTCATTTTTTAAACTTTAATTTTTCAAACTTAATTTTTCTAATGATTTATGTTAGTTTTTTTTTTATCTAGCTTTAGGTGTTAAAACATAATGAATATATTTTTTTTTTTATAATAAAACGGGTTTAACCTTAAATAAAGCTTCAAATAAAACGTTGTCATTTTAATAATCAATTTTTTCCCCTAAGCAGTCAAGTTAAAGATATTGTCATTAACTTTTGAGAAACAAATATTTACAAATCTTAATGATAATTTAATGTTTTGATTATAGCTTTTAGTTTAAGATACAACATCGAACGGGGAATTCAACATGCAATGAGTGATATCATAGGTGACTGTCAATATATATTGTGTCTAATAGAAAACGGTCATATGGCCTACTTATACGCACATTCTTCCATTATTCCAGTAAAATATTTTTTTATTAATAATACTCATCAAATTTTCTAAACCTAAAATTACTGTTTAGTAGCTACAACTTACAAGATAGCAAGCTTATTTCTACACCCTCAACGAATTTAGTTATGGTTATGATTTAAAATATTAACTCAATAATTATTACTATACATAAGTGCTTGATTGGGTTTATACACAAATCGAATATATCTTTTTTAGTTGCCGAGTTGTTGTCAAACAGAGGCAGAGCGAGAGGTAAAAAATTATCACCTGCATAACTTATAGTTAATAATAACTATGTATTAATGACGTATATTTCTGATATTTTGTCAAACTTCATTTTTCCAACGAATTAGGGTTAATTCAATTTTTTTTTTTACCTAGCTTTAGGCGTTGAAACATATTGAATATATTTTTTTTTTAATAAAAAACAGTTTTAACTTAAAACAAGTTTAAAACAAAATTGTATTATTTTAATAAATAATATTTTTTCTATTTAATAGTCAAGTTAAACATATTATCATTAACTTTTGAGAAACAAGTGACAAATGTAAATTTTAAAATTCACGTAGCATCCTATGCATAAATTTAGTTTTGTTGTATAATTATTGAATACTTTTCTAGTTATTAGCTAACTATAAACTGACAAAAAAAATTAATCGAATACTGGCTATCGGTGTCCAGACATTTTTTCAATTCAATGAATATTGTTCAAATAAGTGTTAATTGTTTTAGCTGAAAAAATCATATTTATAGTAATAACAAATAGGTAGGCAGTTAAGTTTTACACATAGTTAATAACAAATTTGAATGGAAATTTAATGTTTTGATTATAGCTTTAGATTCAATAATTACCAACGAACGGATTCTACAAGATGCATTAATATTTATCATAGGTAACTGTTAATGTAATATATTGTGTCTAATAGAAAAGGGTAAAATGGCCTACTTATTTGCACATCATTCCATTTTCCAGTAAAATATATTTTAAATTATAATACTCAACAACTTACAAGATAGCAAGATTTTTTCTATACCTATCCCTAAACGACAAATATTAACTCAATTATTAATACATAAGTGCTTGATTGGATTTATACATAATATTATACGACTACAATAATGAACTTGAATAAAATATTTATACACATTTTTAACGCTTAATTGTAAAAGTAATCATTATTACTCTAGGGTCAGAGACAACAATTGATTTAGATAGTAAGTATGACATAATTATATTAATATATTGTAATTATGGATATCTTAAAATAATATTCCAGACTCGAAAGAATATAACTTAGATTTAAAAAAAAAATGATATCTGAAAATCCAAATGAGGATATCAGTATCATCTGTACTGTGTATAATATACACCACGAAATATACATGTATGTTAACATTTCAAATAATTGTATTTTCCAGAACAATTAATGAATTAATTGCGTAGATATTACAGTTGTAAAATTTGCTTAAAAAAGACTATTGACTATAATCAAATAGTAGTCAACTGAAAAAGCTAAAAATTCTTGTCTATAATTTACATAGTATAACCTTTATGTTGAAATAAAACTAAATTCATCTTTATATTTTATCATAATCTGTACGGTGTTTTAGACACAGATTCCTATGATTCGGCAGTGGAGAACAGAAATAATATTTTAAAGAAATTATTTCAAGATGTTCTCAAAAATATTATGAGTAAGCATTTTTATAATATTAATCGCTACTATTTAACTGATGTAACTAGACAACTAAGGTTTTTTTTCTAAGCTAAGAACAAAAACTTAGTTGTCTGGTTACATCATTAAAACAAACTTGGGCATATAACTTAACCTATGCACAATTAGTATGAGTAAACACAAGAAAAATACTTTCAAATGAGTAGAGCAATGTATTTTTGAAAACAAAAAATTGGATTCTAAAATGTCCAAAAGACTCTAGACTAAAGTAGCGAATAGACCACATCATTTAAGCGGATGCCCTTGTATTTATTTTCAAAGACTTAGATCCGGTGTAACTAGGTATTTTATATTCTATATTATTTCTTGTCGTAAAAATTTATAGTATTTACGATTTTTTTTTTTTTTGCTATTCAATTATGTTGTATGGTTTTAGAAAACGTCCAAATGTGCACGGGTAAAGAAAGAACAAAATGTTTATTGGTCGGGTTAATCAAGCGTGCAGATAATCCTCAGTTTGTATACACACAAGGGTGTAATGATCACCTTGTATGCGTTATAACTAAGGTAAGAGAGATTACGGTAGGCGGTGTTTCACGAATCGCCACGCAAGAAGTGGAATATCATCAAGACCGGAGACTTGACACCAGCCAGGGTCAATTAGAATACACGACCGTAAGTGTAGCAGGCCCCACAGGCGAGTAGTAAATTTAATTGCATATTCATGTTGCTTGTATTTTAGTTAAGACCACTGTACTAACTATTAAATGTTTCGATATCAATATAATTTTATTCAATAATAAACTATTATAATCAATACTGGCATTGTATTTTTACTATTATATCGAACGATAATAAAACACCAGCACAACAAGGGTGGATCAAGGGAGAAAGTTTGAAATCAATATTAATAAGAATATAGACATTAAGAGTCTAGGACACTTAAACATAACACGTGTGACACATGGCCGTGTAGTGATATTTTTGGCATTGGACTATTTCAGATGATAAAAAAAATAATACTACACTCCACCTTTATTACCTTTAAATTACTTGTAATTCATAACAAACGAACAAATAGTTAAAAATTACAAATTCAAACGCTAAATTTTATTTTGAAAATTTTCTCTGCAGATTTATGAAATAAAAAACATACATTCCCATTTAAAAAAAAACAAATGCGATACTTGTTTTATATATAAGTGTTGATGATAACAATATTCGAAATATCGAAGAAAAATGTAGAAAAATATGAACCTACAAGTATACCTCCCCGTCCCCACTGAGCGCCGACCCCACTGTTCTGGCTTACGATGTAATAAACAAAAAAAATGCTATCAAGTTTATACTAGTATAATAGTGAAAGATAAAAAATATACAATCCTATTTTTGGGGTGTATTTTTCAAATTTTACACCTCCCTCCCAAAATCACCAACTAAACAAAATTATTACTGTTTGATAAACTAGCTGATGAAAAAATCAATCCAGCGGTTTTGGAGTTATATGCAGTACATCAGTTTTTCACTAAACATAAATTTACTTGGAGCATGGTGGTGTCGAGGCATACTGGGGACGGTGAGGACACAGGTTTACACGAGTTATTACAACTAAAAGTGATTAAATCACTTTCGAAAAAACGCTTCGGTGCGAATCAGTAGCTAAAATTTTCAAACTAGTTAAATCCAAAACCAAGCACAGTATAAACCAGCGTAGTAAGGAAGAACTAAAGTGAGGTGCAGTTATAGTAAGGTCGTGGCATAATGGTATCAAAGCATAGAGGAGATGGGGAGGTCATAGGTCTACAGGAATTATTATAAATAAAAGTGATAAAATTGAATAAAATCACATTCAAATAAACGCTTTGACGCTTATTTGTAAATACAGCACCTCAATTTAATATATTCTAACTTTTTTGAATTGAAACTGGTTTATACTGTGATTGGTTTGGACTGGTTTTTTTTTAATATTAACCCAAGACAATTTAACACAAGTGATAAAATACTAACTAACGATTCGCATCGATGCATTTAATTGAAAGGGGTTTTATCACTTTCAGATCTTAAAATTCCTGTCAACCTGTGACCTCCCCGTCCCCACTATGCCCCGATCCCACTGTACTGTTTTTTTTTAAATTTTGTATTTTCTTGACAGGCTCGTTTTAATGAGATAAGAATCAACTTTTTTCCCTTTTAGTTGAAAAAATTGCAAAGTTAGTTTTTATAGCATTACATAAACACACAGACTTTTATAAATTTAAATCGACATTATACCGCATGTATATGAAATCCGATCTGTTTTTTCGTTATTTTATATTAAGCTAAGACAAATATCATCTGTCTACTCATTTTTTAGTTTTAATTAAAAATAATCATTGCAGTCAGTTACATTTCAGTTGTATAGCTATTTTTTTTTGTGTTGGTTACGAAATGAAAAATTAGATGTAGAATACCACATGTGTTTTGCGTATGTTTGAATAGGTAACCCAAGGTTAAACGAAAAAAAGTGTTAACAGCAACTCTATGACCTTATAATATTTTCAAAAGGGTTTTTACAAATGTGGAAAAACCCCAGTGACAACGGTATCAATATATTTGTACTAGATCCTATTTTGTAGAAAAAATATTGTCATAATTTAAATTCTGCATCTGGAATGTTGATGAATTTTATGTTTTACACCACAAATGTAACATATGTTTTTTTTTATATACTAGTATATTTTGTTTGTTATGGTCCAATACAAGATATCACATCAAAACGTGTGTTTTCCTTATTTTTTTAGATACATAGTTTTTAAAATACAAGAAAATTAAATAATACAAATAATAAATATGGAATTATTTAAGAAAATAATACCGATAATAAAATCCATACAGTCTTTTCAAAATATGGTCTGTACTCTATTTATTTTTCAGAAAACGTCCCAAATCGCAATAATATGCAATTACGTATTTCACATTTTTTTACTTTGCTAAAAGTTTTTTATTTAATCAAAAACCAGATCACTATATCTACGTTATGTTTATACAGAAGGCACGATCACTGCACCAACACTTGGTTTTGTTCATTTCAAACACGTATACGAACCCAAAAACACGACAAATCACAACAGGTAATATAAGTAGTATAAGCTTTTTAGAATCCTCACAGTAGACATCATATTATTTCAAATCAAAGTTTTGCTATCTGATTAGGCGAAATCTACCCCTTTTTTAGCACACAACATTTATGATTCAAAATTATTTTTCTATATTTATTGGTTTTCTATATTTTCTAAATGTAGAATAAACAGAGTGATCAGTTTTTCGTGAGCCACTCAATATCTCTCCGAGTTTAATATGTATTTTTTTTTTTTTGAACAATGATTTTAAACATATAATGTGATCTCAATTTTTCACGATTTCTTTGTTTTTACTCCCCTTCCAACTAAGTATATTTGATAGAAACTTTCGAAACTTAAATGGTAACGCATACATTTTATTGAATTTTTAAAATTGAGAATAATGTACTGTATTGATAGTTTTGAACTTTTTTTAAAGTTATAGAGCTCAAGAACATTATTCGGAAACAAACACATTACATTTCTGTTCTATATTCTGTTTCTTGCACGGTATGATAACATTATTATTCATTATGTGACTATCCATGTTACGCTTCTAGAATATTCCAGAAAGTATCTTTGCTGCAATTTTGTGCAAATAAATATTTTATGTTGAATTTTTGACATTATGTTGTTTTTTTTTAGATATCGATTGAAAATGATTAACAATAAGCTACAAGTTTTGTGTTTATTTGTGTTGACTATTTGCATTTTTATAAACAATATAAAATGCAAATATGACAATGAACGATGTAACAATATAACAATGAACGGTATGATCTGAATATTTGAATAATTTTGTATTACATTTGTTAAGCTTTGATGCGGAACTAATATTTATCCCTAACTATATACAAAACAGTAAAGAAATGAGGATTACAGATTTGTTGGAAGATTTTGTAAATTTCAACATAAATACGATACACATTTTGAACAACACTTTAGTATACAGTACTTTTTTTTTACGCTGCTAAATTGTAGACAATCACAGACAAACATAATACATCATATTCATTACACAAATTTAACACAATCTGAGAAATCCAGTCTTCTTGTTAGTTTGGTCTTCACCTAAGTAACGTCACCTCTTCTTTATTTGCTCCCTCTCTGCCGGTTCCCGCCAACACATCGTCCACGTTATCGAGGCATCCAATGCCGAGGATCTCTATTTGTATTGGGCTAGCGGATTTCCGGACCACCGTGTCCGTGCCCAATACCTTTTTGGCTTCTTCTCTGAGCTTTGCAGCCCCTCTTACAGTCTCTCCACCCTTTCCCTACCGAAAGGATGTAATGGTCCGCCTTGGTTCTTCTCATCTTCGTAACGGATACGTTGATAGGTTTCAGGTCGACCCCGGATCTAAGTTTCTTTACCGTATCCGCGTTCGAGACATTTTCTTTTTCCAGGGCGATTACTACGTAGAAACGAAATACTGAGTAAAATTTCCATATAATGTCACCGTTAGTAGTTTTTGTAACTCTATGCAAATTTGTCGACAGGTTTCTTTGCTAAAAATGGTCTTTCAGTATGCAATTCATCATATTGTTGAGTCTGCAATTTAAAAACTTTGTTTCGCTCGCTAATTTTGCTCAATAGGCGAAAATGTCAGCCGAGCGAGAGTAAATTCCGGCCGTAAGCCAAGAGGAAAGTTTGATGGTAAGAAAGACAAGAAAGGAAGTTTGCCGTAGGGGTGGATTGAACATTTGGTGAATAGTCAAAATAACCTTACACTATAAAAAAAATAAAAACACACGTGGTTGTTGGATTCTTATGGGACGCCTGGGCTCTGGGGGTCAACAATGAAAAACCGTAACGCGGGCATAAGTATATATATATATGCCGTACGTTTGTTTGTCCTTTATGCATTACTACACCATTCATCCGATCACCTTGAAACTTTAGTTGTTTTTTTTCAAACCGGATAGGCTTTGGCGAAGACCGGAAGATAGTTCTTCCTCTTTAGAAGCATACCTCCTGCCGGGGTTTCCGTGACCCACACAATCAAATTTTATATTTTAAAAAGTTATGATAACAAAATGTATTATTCCAGAATGCCGTGATGAAATTTGTAAGACCAGTGAGTTATAGTTGTTATTATTTTTAAGTCATTTAGGCAATTTGTACCGTTAAAATACTTTGTACAATTTAACTTTTTTCAATTAAAGAAAAAAATTCCACTTTTCTCCTCCGTACAGTGGGTCAGTACATTCATTAATAATTTGTTTTTGTTAAAAAGCTCACTAGCTTCTCTATGTGGACTGAAAGGCAGATTTTTTGATTTTTTTTTTTGAAACTATACAAGCGTTTGTATTTTTACTCTTTCATTTCTTTTTCGAATAAATCTTACTTATTATTTATTTAGTTCTTTGCATACATTTTTTTTCCTTTAAAAAAATCTAAATTATTTTTCCAGCAAGCTCTTGTGCCAAAAATGCATTAAATAACTTAACACATTATTCTCATTACGACCAAAACAAAATTGGCTGCCGGTAACTGACTATTTATATTTTATTACTAAATACGACGTATTCAAAACAATGTTTTGTTTTATATTTGATAAAAATGTATAATTTTAACGTTTTACACAAACATTTAAATTAAGTTAAAATAATACCAACTTTAACTCCCCAATATTAGGGATGATTTTTCACTATATATTGTTATTGTAAATCAAATAAAATTCGTTTTGTTTTTAGACCATATGATTTCGATTTTAGATAAAGGTGAGTGTTTGTTTAATTAATCATATAACGTATCGTAGTGAAGCGAAAAAAATAAAAAAAGTTATATAGAAAACATAAAGTTAGGCATCAATAATAATATTAAAAAACAGACATAGTCTAAACTCTAAACGGTGCCACACTCATAATGTTTTAAGTCAGAATCTTATTTCATCATGTTAAGGGTTTTCAGTTATTTTAACCAATTTTCTACGATGGACTCCAACCTACTAGGCAGTTCTATTTCCGGTATAGGCCATTTCCTTCTGAGTTGTTTAAAGACAATTTTGTTAGTGATCCCCAAGTGTCCTTGTCTATGGTCACACATAACTAAAGTTTATTTAACAAAATCATTATTCATTTGTTTTTGTACTTTGATTTCAGATCAAAAAAACAGACTGGTTAATAATCTCATACGAAATACGATTTTATGTGGTACTATTATATGTAAATTATTAAAAAAATAGCGTAGCGTCCACCGCCGTGTATACTATGCACGAAGCATAGCAATCCCATTAAACGCGTGTAAATTTTACCATACATTCGTTCATCAATTTGTGAGTGAACGGCTGAATAAAATTGATCATATGAGATATCAGTAGATTGGGAAAAATGTATAAAAGAGAACGGGTAAATAAAAATATAGATCGGTTGAATATTTTTTTAGTAATAAACAAAATAATACAACATTTCTGAGGTATCGTTGTAGACTGTTTTATATTATTTGCAATAATTATTATTGTATTAGAAGTACTACATTTTACATGGACATACGCTCATGCATCTCCTAAGTACTTAAAAAATGTAATTAAAAACATTGGCGCACTAAATGTACAAGTTGTCACTCATAACATAAGAATAAAAAATTAAAATATTCTCATTTTTGCAATTCTATATTCTGTAATATTAATGAATGAGTACTCTGTGTCATTTCTACTTCTTTGTATACAAAGACAACTGATATCCCAACAAAAACACTTCGGTAACTCAGTGTAAATGGTCGCTAAGTAAAAAAAAAATTACTTTCAACATAAGCCTTAAAGTACATGATATAATATATGAACTAAGTAAATATCATACATATATATATATATATTATACATCGTGGCCAACAAATAACTATGTCTACATATTAAACTAGTTATGAAATTGTATGTAACCATTTATGTATAATATTTAGTTTTCTTGGTTCCAAATTATAAGTGTGCTAATGGGAGACTTTTAACAAGCCTGTATGCCAATTTTACTGTCTTATCATATCAGCTTATTGTACAGATTTATGTGTAGATTGTTTATATCTAATAAAAAAAAAAAAATTTAACTGTCCCGAAGATGAAGTTTGTTTTCCTGCTACAGTTTTCCTACTATACTCTTATTATAACAAGTGCTATATTTACCAGGTCGGAAGTAGGAAAACATTTTTTCATGATTGGTATAATATGTAGACAGAGTTGTTTGTTGGCTACGATGTATGATACAACATTTAGGAATATATAAGAAACCGTTAAATTTGTAATGATTCATTAAACGTTCGCGCAACTCGCATGCAACTATATATTTTTTTTTTTAACAATTAAATTATTTGTGTTTTATTTCAGAGGAAATATCGACACTGCTTTTCCCGCCAGGTAAACTATAATACGTTTTATACCATTCAGTAATAGCGTAGACCTATACAGATATGAATTGGGCCCCTCACATACCCCGCCAATACTGTCACCGTCCTGTTTTACCATTTCAGTTCCTCCTTCAAAATACAACTAATAAGACGTATTACATATTTAACTAGGAAGTATGTCGCCGTATAAATATGTTGTTTATCTTTGCAATAAAAATACTTAGTAAACAGGAAAATGTGCAGTCGTGTGCGCGTGTCGACCTTGTAGTTTTGATTTAAATAGCATTTGTTTTAAGGGCTCTGGACTCATTCAATCTGCTCATTTTATATGTATAACATGACGTGTGTATTATTGTTTATACTGTTTAATATATTCCATGTAATAGTATAATCTATTGTTGTAATTACTATATGTGTTCGACAATAGTAGTTTGTTTAATCGTTTAAGTTATTCGTGTTGTTTTATTTATTCAAATACTATTTCCACTCGCGTTCAGTCTTATATTGTATGCTAAATATTAGTGTGTAATATTTCATTAATTAAATATACTGTTGCTATATTTTGTAGCTGTTACTGGTACTAGTGTTAAAATGTATAAGATAACATTATATAAGTAAATTAAGTCCCAACTTGCCGAAGCATGGTAATGATTTTCAGAGCATGATAGGCACGATAAGCTGGTAAATTTATATCAAAGTAAATTTGCTAAAAAAAAATACACGTGCAAGTTTTTTATTTTTTTTTAAGATTTCGATAAAGGTGACTTTTATCGATTACTTAAATATATGTTTTAGGTGCCATGCTGTTGCCAAGCAGATTCAGGGCGAGTGGTACGAAATGATCGTCTGCATAACTTATAATTAATAGTAACTATGTATACTAATGACGTTTATTTGTGATATTTTGTCGAACTTCATTTTTCCAACGATTTAAGTTAGTTACATTTTTTTAGCTTTGATGTGGAGCAGCGATGCTATTGGTTCTATAACGATGTGGGCTTTTTAACATGTATACGTTATATGGCTGGGGGTCAAGTACTAAAAATTGTCCGAAACGTAACGCTGGATGTCACACTCGGCGGCTGCGGGGATTAAAGATTAGAGATAAGAGATAATGTATTAGAGTTAAGAGATTAGAGATAAAATGTCTCCCATGGTTGGCAAGCTATTGTAAAGGGATTGGGATGAATTTGGAGATGGGGATGTTAATGGAGTTGTAGATGGAGTTAGGGATGGGGATGGGGACGGGGCTGGCTTGATTTAAATTGATTAGAAATAACTAACCAAGTGAATGTTGTCAATAAATCGATTAAGGCCAAATATTAAAAAACTACTCAAAAAACTATTGACAAAAAAAAAAAATTTTAAAATAAGAAAATTAGAAATGTAGATATATTTAAATTGACATTTACTCGGTCATAAGACATATACATGTGCCTATGTATCCGCTTGTAGTGTGGATACTTTGAATTTTTAATAAAATTAACGCCATAAAGTTTCCATTGATGACGCCAGGATTTTTAACAAATTACTTAATTTTATTTTAAAATAATAACAAGTTGGGTAATTTTTGTGTCTGTTTTCATTGTGACTTCTTTATTACTAGACCTATTCCTTCGAATAGTAACTCTATAAATTACAAAATTTATCTTGAGGATTGAAATTTTTTAGAGGATCAATTTCATGTATTCAAAATTTTAACGATATAAAAGTCACTATACCTCAACCCCACTGTACTGTTTTTTTTACCTAACTTTTTAAAAAAAGATACATGTTTTACAATAGTGCATGCTTTTAAAATATCACAATTGAATACATTTGTTTTTGTATAAAATATCGGTTTTAACTTAAAATAATATTTGAAAAAAAAAATGCATTATTTTAATGATCAATATTTCTTCTTTTTAGTTGTCAAGTTAAACATATTATCATTAACTTTTGAGAAACCAGTAAAATATGAAAATTTCAAAATTCTCGTAGTATCCTATTTATAGTATTGTTGTATAATTATTAAATACTTGTCGAGTTATTAGCTTGCAACATTTAAAATTTGAACGCTATAAAATGACAAAAAAAAATAATTGAATATTGGTTATCGGTGTCCAAACATTTTTCAATTCCATTAATACTGCTCAAATGAGTGTTGACTATTTTAGCTAAAAAAAATAATTTATTGTAATAGTAAATAGGTAGTCAGTAAAATTGTTCATGATATAATAACAAATTTTAATGGGAATTTAATGTTTTAATCAGGTGTAGCTATAGATTCAATAATAACGAACGAACGAATTATTCAAGAGACATTAATAGACATCATAGGTAACTGTTAATATGTATTGTGTCTAATAGAAAACGGTAACATGGACTACTTATACGCACATTCTTCCATTATTCTTGTAAAATAATTTTTTATTTGTAATACTCATCGACTTGTCTAAACCTTAAATTACTGGTTAGTAGCTACAACTTACAAGACAGCATGCTTATTTCTACACCCTCAATGGCTAACGACTTTATTAATGTTTATGATTTAAAGTATTAACTTAATTATTACAATAGATAAGTGCTTGGTTGGAATTATACATGTTATATGACTTAAATAAGATATATATATATATACATTTTTTAAACGCTCAATTTTAAAAGTAATTATTTTTATTACAGAGAATACAATTGATTTAAACAGTAAGTATTGCATAATATATTTTGTAATTATGACTATCCACAAATAATAGTCAAAATTGGAGAACATACTATGTGCTAGGAATGGCGAAAACTGAAAATTATTGTCTATAATTTGTAATTTACACTACCTTTATATGAATAAAAAAAATCTAAATTAATCATTATTTATCATAACTTGTATGATATCTTAAACCCAGGATCCTATGAATCGGCAATGGAAAACAACAAAAATATTTTAGTAGAAACACTTGAAGTATTCTATGAAAATATGCGTAAGCATTTTTATAATATTTATGGCTACTATTAGAATGCTTAGAACAAAAACTTAAATCTAAGACCATCATCGATGATCAAGCCCAAGTACTTCATGGTCATGGTGACCTGTAGAAGGTTATCCTCAATTGTACAATGTACTTACTATATACTATATAGTATATACTATTGGTCAATTAAAAAAGCTGAAATTTCAAGTCTATAATTTACATAGTTTTACCTTTATGTTAAAAATTATACTTAATTCATCTTAATTATCATTTTATAGACCGGGGAACCTATATCTCGGTAGTAAAGAAGAGAAATCATATTTTAAAAGAAACATTTCAAGATGTGCTCGATGAAAAAATGAGTAGGAATTTTTATAACATTTATCGTTACTAATAAAATGCTTAGAACAAATATATAGTTGTCTAGTTACGTCATTAAAATCCACTTTAGCATATAACTTAACCTATGCGTAATTAGTATTGTGGAAACACAAAACAAATACTTTTAAATAAGTAGAGCAATGTATTTTTGAAAACGAAAAATTTGGTCATAAAATGTCCAAAAGACTCTGGACTAAAGTCCAGCGAATAGTAACCACATCATTTAAGAGAATTCCCTTGTATTTATTTTCAAAGACAATTAAGACAAAGACAATATTTAGATCCGGAGTAACTAGGTATTTTATATTCTACAGGGTGTCCCATTTTAAAATATTAATCGATTTTTCTCCAAAAATACTTATCCAATCAAAAAGTTGCTTATTAAAGACTTTTAGAGTATAAAAAGGGACGTTATAAAAGTTTAAAAAATAGGGTCCAAAATTCAAAATGGTCGACTTACGGGCAAAAACATGTTTTTTTTAAAGGAAACCATGTATTTTTTGTTAACCAAACAAATGTTCTTATCAAAACTAACAACTTTTGTAGGAGAATTTTTCGAAAAACCCATAATTTAAATGGTAACACCCATAATTTGTAAATTAAGTATCTTTAGCTAATTTTAGTTTTGTTATTTTATTTTGATGCATATGGTGACCTTGTCATGTGTAGTAACCTTGGTATGTGTGATAACCATGGTTTTTGTCTTTGTGATACACTGAAAAGAGGATAACGTTAACGATAAAGATAATGATAATGTAATGGTAAGGTTAGGTTAGGAAATTATAAACATACCACGGTTACCACACAAACCGTGGTTACCACACAATCCAAGGTTTCCACTCATACCAAGTTATCAAACATACCATAGTTATCTCACAAACCAAGGTTACCACACAAACCAAGGTTACCACACATACCAAGGTTACTACACATGACAAGGTTACCATATGCATAAAAATAAAATATCAAAACTAAAAATAGCTAAAGATACTTAATTTAAAAATTATGGGTTTTACCATTTGAATGATGGGTTTTTTGAAAAAATGTTCCCACAAAAGTTGTTGGTTTTGATAAGAAAATTTGTTTAGTTAGCAAAAAATACATGGTTTCCGTTTAAAAAAAAACATATTTTTGACCGTAAGTCGGCCATTTTGAATTTTGGACCCTATTTTTTAATTTTTTATTACGTCCCCCTTTGTACTCTAAAAGTCTCTAATAAGCAACTATTTGATTGGATCAGTATTTTTAGAGAAAAATCGATTATTATTTTAAAATGGGACATCCTGTATATTGTTTCTTGTCATAAATGTATAGTATTTACGACTTTTTTTTTTTGCTATTCAATTATGTTGTATGGTTTTAGAAAACGTCCAAATGTGCGTGGACAACGAAAACAAAAAATGTTTATTGGTCGGGTTAATCAAGCGAGCAGATAATCCTCGGTTTGTATACACACAAGAATGTAATGACGACCTTATGTGTGTTATAACTAAGATAGGACAGGTTACGGTACGTGGTGTTTCACGAATCGCCACTCAAGTAGTGGAATATCATCAAGATCGCAGACTTGACACCACCAGCCAGGGTGAATTAGAGTATACGACCGTAAGTGTAGCAGGCCCCACAGGCGAGTAGTACATTTAATTGCATATTCATGTTGCTTGTATTTTAATTAAAACAATTGTACTAACTATTAAATGTTTCGATATCAATATAATTGTATTCATTAAAAAAACTATTATAATCAATTGTGTCATTGTATTGTTATTATATTATACATTAATAAAACACTAAACATGGAACATGAAATTCTAAGTACTTTGTATATTATATATCTTTGTACATATAATTAATTATACTTATTGTATTGCGAGCCTATGTTTTCGGTAACCATGGGGTGGTTACCGAAAAATATAAGTGAACACAACACTCGCTTTTTCATGAAATAGAATAGATTTAATTTACAAATACCAACTTATTTGTTATCATATGGATGTGAGCAATTAGTTTTTAAATAATTAGGTAATACTTACATTTACGTTGAAAAAATGTGTACTTGTAACAAATTATTTTTACAAAAGTAAAACAATATATTTGAAGCACTGAATGAAAATTGCCAAAACCGGAACAATACATTTTAAATTGTTAGTACTGCAGTTAATTTGTGTGTCATATAATTATTTTGCTTAACATAAACACTTGACAGTTTTTTCACTGCTTATGTCCTATAACTTGAAATCGACGAGAGGCCTCTGTCTCTCTGAATTTCCAATATCAATTCACCCCAATTTTTTTTATTCTTATTGACCCAACACTCACAATTTAAATTATTTATGACATTTTTATACTTTTTTAATGCTTGTATTAAAGGTAAAAATTTAAGTTTTCTAAAAAAAATCAACGAGAGAACTGAGTTTTTAAGTTCTCTCTCCATTAAATGGTATCAACATTTTTTTTTTATAACTTTTTCACTTTGACCTACACTTATTTCCATCAACACTTATTTACGAAATTTTAAAAAGGGTATGACGTCTCTTAATTCAGTCAAATTTCCAGACCTTAAATCCGAAAAACGTGTAATACTGGTCTAAGATTTTTTAAAACAGTGTCCCCAAAATATAATAATAATCAAAATCAGTTAAATGTTGGAAACTTTAAATAATATAAAACTAGGTCGACTTTAAAGATGTTGTTTTTGTAGTTAGATATATTTCTTATTTACTGCATTGGTCTATGGCTAACAGGTAACTGTTTGAACTAGCATACAAAACATCACACCAAAATATGTTTTATTCCCATTTAAATAAATAACACAACTTAAAATGAATTTTCAATACTTTACCATGTAAGCAAGCAACTATACAATTGTTCAAAAAAATAATAAAAATGATATTTTCAAAATATTTTAAATGAATATAAGACAATTTTTTTAAAAATAAAAAAGTAAAGTTATTCATGACCTAATGTGGTAATTTGTAGGTGCTCCGAGACCTATTGTAACAACAGAAAAAGATAAAATACAAAAACTGAACTTTTCTTTTTGATAATAATTATTATTTATTTAATTTATAAAAAATCGAGAAAAACACCCAAAAATTTTTTTAATTTAAAATTACGATGCTCTATAACTTTTTCAAAAATAGTCGACAAAGTTCCAAATTTAAATGAATTGTTCTTCAAACATAGTACTATCGATAAACATTAACCAACCAAAAAAAAAAAATTACAAACTCTTTCCCCTAGAAGGGATAGAATGTTTTTCTTTAGTTCTCTTTTTCATGAAAAAATGAGATTTACATCTGAAAACTAGACCGAAGGTAGATCTAAAATGGAACTATAACATATACAATTTTCACAACTATGTTCTACTTTACATGAGCATTTTATTTTTTTGAAACATGTATCGTTTTATTGTTTTACCAAATACATTGTCTTTTTAGGGTAATACTTTATTCAAATTGTATCTACAAAGTCGGAATAACACTTGCTAAATAATGTACTTTGGTAACCTTCATATTTTTTTTGGTTTAATATGGAAATATGTTAATATTTGAACAATACACCTGCAAAATTTTTTTCTGCTTATATCCTACAACTTAAAATCGATGAGGGGCCTCTGTTTCGCTGAATTTTCAATCTCAGTTCACCCCAATTTTTTTATTATTATTAACTCAACATTTACAATTCAAATTGTATTTATGACATTTTTGTACTTTTTAAACGCTTGTATGTAAGGAAAATTTAAAATTTCTAAAAAAAACAACGAGAGAACTGAGTCAATATTCTCTCCATAAAATGGTATCAACATTGTTTTTCTATGACCTTTCCGCTTTGACCTACACTACACGCTTTTCCATTAATCCGTTTTTACGATTTATTTAAAAAAGATGGGCGTCCTCTCAAGTTAAAACGTTTTCACATTATTTTGTAATCGTAAATATGATTCTATAATACTATCAAGTATCACGATTGGTTTTCAAAATGAAACAACATTTTAGCTTCGATATTTGTTGTACCAATATGAAAAAAAAAATAGTATATTTGAACAATGTAAATTCTAAAAGCATGAAATATTTGTAAAACGATGAGGCATGGCTTCTGTTTTGAACTCTAGCGATTTGTCTTATTTTTAATAGTTTTATTTAGCATACATGTCTTTATAAATCTATAATGTACTACAACGATTTGAATATGTTATATTTCGTCGGACAACTTTTATACATAATTCATTATTGCCAAAAAAATAAACGTTGTCTAAAACTATATTATTTATCATAACCAATTTGCACTATGGTCTACATCTTATGCATACAAATATCTTATTATTCAAAATTAATATAACTAAATATTATTTGCCTAGTACAATATTAGTGGTTTATGAAAATGTTATTTATCGTTATTTTAGCTTTGACGTAGTTTGGTTTTTTTTTTACTGTCGATTTGTTAAATGACGCATTTACATACCATATAAAAAAAAAAAACTAGAGCGTTACTATTTTATCTGTTTACTATAAATTACTTAAAGAGACGTGAAAAAAACAACATGTTGTTGCAACGTTAGGCTCAATGTATCAGTTTTCTATTTTGTCCCTTCCTTAATGGGTCGGCGCGAGGAGGGTGATTCCCAATTTATTTTATAAGAATTATTCAATTTATTTTTACACTCAATACGATAGCATAGAATGTATAAATTATATAATGATATTTTTTTTGTATGCAGAAATAGTCAACTACCTCCCCCACGAAGCCAGGAAAACCTTTAAAAAAATTAACTTAAAGGGTTATGGTTATTTATTTTTTTTTTACCTATAACAATTGTAATTGAAACAAAAAACCTGTACAGAAAAATTTGGCAAAGTTGGTTCATATCAATTATTAAATCTGAATGCGCATTTGGTTCAGACCGTACTTGGTTTGTATTATATTGGTTTAAACTTTGCTATTTTAGACTGTACTGTTTTTTTTACGCTGTGGTTGATTATAGCTGTAATTAGTTTATACTTTATTGATATATAGAGAACATAAATTATACTCTACTGGTTTGAGTCACCAAGAGAACAAATGATAAAAAAAATATTGATAATAAATAAAAAAATTTATTTTATACCTTATATAGTAGATTTGTATTTCATTGCCAACTCGCTCAAATGTACTAGTTTTTTTTAAGTCATTTTTTTTAAATTAATTTTATTTGATAAAATAATTTTACTTTAATGCTATGTTAAATATTATTTTTTTTACTATTAGGTATCCGCTAAAATAGCAGTTGGGAATGATTATAAATCATTAAAACAGTTGGCCATATAGCTCTACGTGTTGATTCAAACGCAAATGAGTACGAGCGTCTCTTTAAAATAAAAACATAATACAAAATACCTCTTACGTTCACCGGTCATTTCAATACGATCAAGAACATCAGCCAATGTCGAATGAGCAGAGTTCACAAGACACAAAAGAAAGGGAATAGAGGAGGAAAATTATACAATTTTTGTAATTAAGAGTTTAAATATAGGGACAAACGATAAATTAATATACACCTGAAAGCAACAATTAATGCATACCCAATTAGACTAACATATATTATACAGAATATACTTGTCTATTATACCTGAATTTGATGGCTTACGTTTCAAAAGTGTATTTACTTGAAACTATTCCAGCCATTATGTTCAATACATAGCTCTATTTGATGAAACAATTTAAAGTAACGTGATAATATTTAAATAACTCTTTATTTTTGAAATATATGTTCTACATATTTTTTTGAATATAACACCATTGGAAATTTATAATAAAACGTTTGACGGAATTTAAAAAACACAAAGTACAAATATTAATATACACACTTGACATTATAGTAGTTAAAAAATTATAAGTTCGACAATCTATCTATTTTCCCCTCTTCATCCAACTTTGGTACGACATCATCAATCATTTTGGCGAAAGAATGAATATACTGGAAAGTGTAAGAAGATTCGAATAAATTTTTCAATTTGCTAACAAAAAGTCTAGTAGAATCCACGATTTCCTTGGTTTTATTGCAATATTTATGAATTGACGAGTTCTTTCTAGCATAATGCCAAGTTTCTGTTAGTATATCAATTTCAGTTTTAATTTGGTCAATTAAAATATCTAGAAGCTCTTTGCTTAAGTTGTTCAAATAGTCAAAATTTATACAGATTTTTAGCTTTGCGAAAACGTGGTCGTCATCTAATGACATGACTTCTATGAAATCAGTTAAAGTTGCAGCAAACTCGTCTATTGATGAAGTTTGTATTATAAATTCTTCCAGTTCAATGGTTCCTATTGATATGAGGTAACGACCTATTTTTTTCAGCATGACTAGTTTCAACAAATTAATTACCATTCGTTGATACTCTCCGGTGTATATTAATGGCTTTAATCCAATGTCAATGGATCTCTTCTTGATAATTTTTAACTCTACAGCCACAAAATCCCAATTACCGGACTCTACAAATTCTTTTAAAAAACTATCGAGATGAGATGGTGGAATGTCCATACTGTTAAAAAACAATTGTGATAAATTGGAAAACGCAGTACCTTTTTTCTCGGCGTAGTCATTTTCAATATTAACGTCGAGTAATTTATTTAACATTCTTTTGTTCAATTTTATT